TATTTATATTTTATTTTATTTTATTTTTATTGTGCTTTGGATGCAAGTTTACAGAGCAAGGTTTGTTTTACATTCAACATTTTGTGTACATTTGGTTTCACTCCCCAATTACTATCCCCAACTCTAAGCCAGTCTCCTCCCCTCCCTGCCCAGTAACCCTGCCCCATGCCCCTCATAGTTCACACTCCTGTGTGTCCTACATTTCCTCCGTGGGAATGTTGCCCCTCTGGTGTCCCGTGGTGGATTGCTCCAAGGGACGCATCTCCATAGAGTATGTGGGTGCGCCACCTTGGGTTGAGTGGTCTGCGTGTACATCTTGTTTACTATTGGGCTGAGAGCCCGCCCCTGGGGGTGAGTTTTATTCCAGGACTGAAGTGTATGCCAGGGCCAAAGTATTGGGGGGTCCCACCAAACTCCATCCGACCAGTAATTCTGGTCATTATTATGTTTTGGGACTTTGTTCTACATTTTTCCTCCGACTCTATCCAGGATCTCCCGTTTTGATCCTTTCCTGAGTGGTTGGCATTGGTAGCCAGACACCATCTAGTTCTTCTGGTCTTGAGGTCTATCATGTCCTAGGGCTGATTGCTTCCAAATGTCCTTTATTTTCCCCCCTCACTCTTCTTCACTTCCGATGATAGAAGACCATTAGCTGCATCTTAGATGGCTGCTTGAAAGCTTTTGATACCAGTTGCTACTCACCAACGTAGGTTGTGAAACAAGACTTTTATGTATTTTATTGTGCCAATTGAGTCTGGTGTTAAAGGTCTAAAAGGCAGTTAATTTTAGATGTGAGGTATACACCAAACAACAACAACAACAAATAGCCAGGGTTTTTGTCCCAGGAGAATATGTCAGAAGCCTCTAGCAACCTTTTCATATTCTTGAATTAAGAGATTTCCTAAAATCTCAGAAATCAGTCCCTATGAGTCTGCTGTGGTCCTGGGAATTCAGAGGTGCGAAAGAAATTTGTCAAGGACAGGAGCATGCCTGGCTCAGCAACCATGGACATGTACAACACACAAATACTCTGAAGTGCAGATAAATGGCTTAAGCAGTCTAGAAGGAGAAAGTACTTCCTGTTAGGGTCAGGCAGCAAACACTGACAATCTCATTGAGACTTTGGCAGTGAAAGAAAGTGGGGAGACAGAACGGTAACTCTCGGGAACAGA